ACTGGCAGCGCGGAAAAAATTCATCCTTTGACTCTCGGTTGACGTTGTAATCCGTCATGAGGCGGCCTTCACGCACGTTCTTGTTCTCGAGGGTGACGCGGCGATTTCAAGAGCGAGAGGATGAAAGATGGAGAGAGAGAGGGAGATTTCCCTCCCAATTAACGATATTTATCTTTGCGCCGCTTCGTGCGAAGCTTCCATCTCTGACGGCCCGCGTTTTATTTTGCTCGCTTCACGTTGATAGCCGGCGGATGTGCGCGCCGGCTGCTGGAAGAATTATAAGCTGAAATTTCTCAAACCCACGGGCGGGATTTACCTACGTGGGAGCCCTTTCTCGGACAGGGGATGAATTATCTATATGTCTCGCCCCCGGGGTCGTTCCCAACTCTTAACCCCTTTTAAGGTCACACAGCTTCGGCGTGAGACTGCCCCCGTGGAAATTTATTTCTTTATACCGGGCGCATCTTCCTGTAGCTTCTCTTTCGGAAGTTAATATCCTCCTTAATCTTTTCACGTCCGGGCGGAAACTTCGTGAGGAAGACCTTCGGCGCAACTTCGCGCAAACTTCGATGTGCGCGAACTTCCGGCCGTGTGTCTCCCATCGTCTCACCGCGCAACGTTAAAAATTCGCCCGACAAGAGAGAGAGAGAGAGAGGTTGGTTTTCAATTTGCTCTTGCTCCTTGCTTTTTTGTACGTGAGTCGACCTACGTGCAATCGGCCACCTCTTTCCCACTACCTCCCTCTCCCGCGATACAGCAACCCCGTGGCTTTGACGCGGACAACCCTTGGGCATACCTCACCGACGAATATATGAATAATTTCCGCGTCGGCACGGCGCCGTCCGTCGCCGAAAATCGATATTCCATAAATGTGTAAATGTAACCGAATCCTGGGTGATTCCTTCACCTAAGCAGAGGACGTAACCTTGCCTCGGCTAGACGACGGGGCACGTGTGCCACGAAATGCATTAGCATCGTCGCGCGCACACCACCTGCATCTACGCGCATCGACATCTTCGACAATCCCCTGACTGACAATAGGATCGATAGCGCGACTGCATACAAATCGTCCCTGTCATTATATATAACGCTGCATTGCGTTCGTCCCTCCCGTACTTGCCGTTCGTGTATAATTTACAATGGCGTCGCTTCGACTGTCTCGTTTCGCCCGTGTGTAATTTAACGGCGAACTTTGAAACTTTTCGAAGTTTTATCGTTCGCGCGGGAGGCAGAGAGACAAACAGAGAGAGAGAGAGAGAGAGGAGAGAATAATTCATATCGATCTAACCGAGCGAAAAAAAAATATGAAACGTTGTCGCGATATATTAAAAAGGATTTTCCCGCGTTTGTATCGCGAGCTAACTCGCGAGGGACAGATTTATGGGCAATATCCTCCGCGACGGAAAATTCAGGGCGATAAAGGGCGCCGGAGCAAATATTTTTTTTTCGAGGACGCATAGAGAATATCGCGATCGATATCGCGCCGGAAATCACGGCGTAATACGTCCACGAGCGTTTCCGGGCGTCGATGCATCCCGGCAGGCTTGTCACTCTGTCTTCCCACGCCCTTGTTTCCTCCACCCCGCGTCGTGTCCCGTCAGCGCGATTCCGCGTCTCTCGCTAGCGTAAATTCAATCTCCCGATTTTCCCCGCGGGGAAGGCCGCCGACGCTTTAACCCCCGGAACACGATAGCGCGGGCCCGTTGTGTATAAAATAAAATGAAGAAACACGCCGGACGAAACCGAACGCTCTTTTTCATCGTTCCGATGCGGAACGAAAAAAAAGGGGGGCTCGCGTTTTGTTTCGGCGCGCCTCTTTCCAGCCGGGGGTTTTTGCGAACGAAAATTTATCATCGGCGCTGGCGAGGCGTTTTACGACGGTGTCAAGCTCCAGCTTCGGCTGGAAACAATAGACGGCTACGTCGGCAAACTCGCGTATGGGAAATTTAACGTTTGCAATTATAAACCGTTCGATCGTCGACGCGTTTTCTGGCCGCAGGTGAAAAAATCACGGCGCGCTGGCGAGATATCCGCGCGGGAGTGTTCGCGTACTCAATCTATGATAACCGTAAATTAGAAGTCGCTATTTCTCTAATTATTTACACACGATCCGGTCTAACCCGTCTAAAGTGCAACGGACCCGTTATTAATCTCTCCGCGACGTTAACTGGAACAAATTGAAGCCATCACGCGAACCCGCCGTCCGTTCATCGGGAAAGAACTTTTCGCGACCGAGCTAATCGCAACGATTCGTCTCTATTAACGCGCTTCGCCTTTCGAATCCGCGCGAGACTGCGCGAGACGCGTTGTCATCGTCCTGTCGCGCCTAGAGCGGCTAGAACGGGAAATTGGGACGCGAAATTACATCGAGATTTCCCGCCGGGCGAACTCTTTCTTCTCCGCTTCGCAAAAATAGCGGAACGCCCGGGATACAAACGAGATAGGCCTGAATGGCAATTAATTAGAGGGGTGGGGAGACGTCGAGACAGCCGGAAGCTCGATTCACGATGCGCAGCGAAATATGAAATTCAATTTGGACGTGCGCGTGCGTCCACCTGTTCGACCAGCCCGAGAAATTTAAAATCTCGCCGTTGGAATTTCGAAAAAAACAACATCGTTGTAACTCAACGGTCTTCACGATTGATAATACGGTTGTCACGTAATCGCCTAGGGTGACGTAACGTTCCTCAGTTTTCCCACAAGTGTATTCTCGCGTAACGACGTGTCGTTGCTTCTCTCTCGCGAGGAATTCCATGCGGACAACGGCACTGTATTCCCAACGAATTGCCGGCTTTAATAGAGATCGACACGCGGGCCGAATGCGAGATCCGTTTGCGGCGTTAAATATCGATCACGGTTCGGCCGTGTGTGTACGCGACCAGAAAGCTCGTAAATACGACGGGAGGGGTAGTCAATGAGACGTAATTATCGAAGAAACCAGTTCTCGGTTTCTAGTTTATGCTTTTTTTTTTTCCGACGCCTCTCTCGGACCGTAAAGTGCAAGGCCGTCTGTTTTGTCGCCACGTTTCAACGACGCGCATGTGTATGTCACGTAAGCTAAAATGGATCCACCGTCCTGTTGAAACTCAGTAAGCAAGAAATCGCTTTAACAAAATTATTAAAATGATATTTTGTAACATGTAACGTTTTCAAATATGCAGTTCTCAATGTTGTATACAATTTTACTATCGACAATATTCGACCATTTGAAACATTAAAAATTATGTTTTTATACCATAATTTTAATATTTAAAAATATAATACTGTCAAATAACAGTTTAAAAACATTTATAAAATATTATATATCAAAATGTTTACGAAATCCACATAAAATCGATGTTTTAAAAGATTGATTTAATGTTTCTTGCTTGCCGGGAATAACCGTGCGAAATTGCAAGCGCGACTGTGCACGGTGTTTTACGCACGGTGGGAGTCATTTCGCTCGTGCCGAATAAAACCCTGCTCAGTGCATTTCCGACTAAGATCGCGACTGATCTGGCGAGGGGAATGCGCGTCTCCCCGTTTCTGCGCCGTCCCGTCGTCGTTTTCTTCTCCGTTGGAAACTTGCGAGTGGGATCGTCCGATTTACGGATTACCTGTCCGCGGATGTCCCGGCGTTCGTACGCGCGAAAATGATCGGGAAATCCCGTACAGCCGCGCGGAATTTCATCGGGAAAGCGAACATGGCGTTTCTCCCCTTGGGTTTAATCGAATGAAAATAACGTCCGTTCGTTCTTCCTGCTTTACGAGCAAGCTTTTCCTCCTTCTTTCCTCCTTCCTTCCTTCCGTTTGCTCCGCTGTGAAGTACGTCGGAAACGCAGATATTTTAATCCAACGGACTCGATATCTCGCGTTTCCGAATAACGATAGCGCGATAAGTCGGCGTGAGGGAAACCTCGGAAGCGTCGACTCGTCGATTATCGACCGGATGCATCACGTCGGACATGCATTCAACGGCGCCGAGCGGTAAGCGACGTTCGTATTTTAATACTCTGCAATTATTACGGCAATGATATCGGGATAGCGACGACGGCGGAATTAGTCGTTGCACCCGAGGCGACAGGTTAAGTTATCGCGACCGTGATAATTGCGCGCGAGTCGGGGAGAATTTCGCACGCGAGGCCGTCAACTTGCGCTTTTAATGAGCTCCGCCGCGTTTAATAAGCGCGGCGGGCGCAAAGGGCGCCGGGTTTGCACCGCGAAGGAACATTTGAATCCCCGAGCTTAAACATTTAGCAGAGTCGACAATACCGCTAGGCGAGAAACAACCGCCAGTCTCCTCCGTATCTTTTTTTATTTGAGTTTGCACGAGCCCCTCTCAAATGCAAATGGATGTTGTACAGCACGCAAGCACACAGCGCTTCCCCGTGGACGCCTCCTCCCTTCCAACTCCTAAGCTACACTCTCGACGTAGTTCTCAAAAAATTGGCCAGAATTTCTTCCTTCTCGAAACGATGCTTACCGTTTCCGGTCGTTCTGTGCGATCGTCGCGGTATTCGCCGATCGTGATATTTCGTTAATGAGCGCAATAAATTGATCAACCAGAACGATTGTATATTTCGCCCAGAGAACAAAAGTACAGAGAGCAAAGTTTGCATTGCTGCTACAACGTCGAAACGATTCGCATCGAGTTGAAGTAAAATTCACGCACGAGTGAATAATAACGTTTCACTCGGATTCGAAGAATTTAATACGCGAAAATGCCGCAGTCTTCTGCGCGTGATATAGTTTCGCGATTGTGAGTCATTATTTCTCCGCCGAGATTCACTCGAAGATACGCAGCCGAGTGCGAAGCTTCGATTTAAAGCTTCGCGCGATCCTCGCGCGCGAGTGACACCACCGTGATGCAACCGTGGGCCGTGATATTTTGGCCATTTTTTTGGAATCTGACGCGATGCGCGAGATGAATGGCCTTGCCGGAAGCATGAAGCTCCCTGCTAACAAAGAACAAAAAGTCACGCGACCTTTCTTCTAATTTCCTGGGCGCTCGGTTGTTGCAGGCACACACTCCTCTTCTCGCGGCCGACACGAAACACGTAAGTAGAAAGTTGGAAGAGCAAAAAGTAGCCGAGACAAGGAGATCGTTAGCGGGTAGACCGCGACCGGCAGAAGAATCGCCGTCGTCACGTGTTATCCTCGCGTCGCGTTTTCCTTCACTTGGATGTTGCTCGGCTGATAAAGTGTGTCGGCGAACACCAGCCGGAGAGAGATCAATGCAGAGATATATCGTTGTGTCGTTTGCCGACGTAAACATTTCCCTCGTAAACTCAGCGAAGAGAAAAGAAAGGAAACAACTGGCTCCTCTTCGAGACTGATCTTATTCATTTTATCACGTTTTACATCCGCCGCGCATTCAACTTACGCGCATTCAACCCGCTTACGTTTTTTCCCCGGCGCGAAATTGGAGCGGATTTGCATATGATTGAACTGTGGGCGATAATGTCTCATTGGTAATCGCCGGACATTCGTTTCATTAATTGCACGGGCGACACAATTAACAATTCCCACGCTACAACCCCTTGCATTTTCTGCGAATTAATCGGCCGCGCGGTGCGTTCGAACCAGTTCCCGATGATGTAATAACACCGACCGGCGATATCGCGATGTCCGGCACCTTTATCGCGGTTACCCCGTGTATCCAACGCGCGCACGCGGGATATAAATAACGCGGTGTGAACGTAGGAAGCGCCGCAATAACGCGTGATCGCCTCGAGTTTATTATCCGGATCGTCCGTACCAGCGAGAAATCTTCCGCCCACCGACGACTGTGTGCGAAAGAAAAAGACAGAAAGAGAGAGAGAGAGAGAGAGAGAGCAAAATTTCGGAAATTGAATCAACGCCGGTCGACGTGATCGCGGGGAGTCGCGGACACGAATGTCTTTTTCTTCTGTAAAACGGAAACGTAGGGGCCGATTCCGGCGCGCACTTCGAACTTTATCGCGACATAATTGCAGTTTCATATCGCTACCGCGGCGGTTTCCCATAAATTACGCGCGCAAGAAGAGACGTAACGGATAATTATTTGTCCTCGAGTCATTAGCGCTAACGATTCCTCCCCTGTTCTCCTCGTTCCTACCCTTCCGTCCTCTTCTCACCCCGGTCTGTAGAATGTTCTAATCTACGAGCAACGATTTCGTTCGCGACATGATGTTCCTTAATCACCATTTAAACGGTTAACTTGGACGATTATTATCCGCGTATCTTTAAGCGTCTCGACCGCTATCGACGCGATCGATCCGGAAGCATTCGTTCCGGCACGAGTTTCCTCTAACTCTCTCTCTCTCTCTCTGTCGCTTGTGCGCGCTCGAAAATCGATTCCGTAATGTATGTAGGAAACGGTGTCATCTCTGCTTCCTTGCAAGCGCTCGCTTCCGACCTACGTCGAGCGGTCTCGTCCAATTTGCCGCGAAATTAATCCAGTCGCTTCTTGCGGGAGTTCGCCGGGACTTTAATGACTCGTCTAGTTCTAAGTGATTACTAACGTTGCTCCTGGAGATTCGTCTCTCTCCGCTCGCGGATCCGCTTCTAAATAACAGATCTTTCCTCGCCGAGCTGATCTCTCTTTTCTTTTTTGCCTTCGTGACGACATCGATTTTTCTCGCTACGCCGGATGAGCCACGACCCGGTTCCCGATTGGAAGAAACGATCGGACACGGCGAGATCGGTCGTCGCACGCGATCACGCGCGAATTCACTACGACAGCGATGTTAATTCGCGAGTATCCCGGCCGCGCCGCTCGACATGGACGCTAAATTCCGATAGTCGAGAAGCTTAAAATAATTAGCCCGCGGCGCGAGAGTAAGCTCCGGCTAACCGCGTGGCCCGACACACACACAGACACGTCCTTGCGTCGCTTACACACGCGCAAATATTTCCCCCCGGGCGTGCGTGCGTGTTTGCGAACACGCACTGCGTCAACCGGCAAAATATTCGCCGCCGTCGTCACCGCACAAATCCAAGCGTCGGGCTAATTAACTATCGCGACGCGTATTGATGGTTTAATCGTGACATCGCGCTATTAACTGGCGGGTGTGTTCTCGTCGATATCGCGTCTGCCTCGTCGTTCGACGAATTAGAAAGCTAACGCTGAGCGCCGATAAGGAGTTCACGCTCGCGAAACGCAACGAGAATAAATGTAAGCCTATTTTGATTTCATATCAGTGCGCCCCGGCAAAAAGTACGCGATTCGTAAACATTGACGAACACGTTTCGCGCGAATCGACATCCGCGACTACTTGCGAATCTTGCGTCCTAAACCCCGGACAGATTTCCAACCAAGGGTGCGACACGACCGTCCCTCTCTTACGCTTCCCCGTGATGCGCTACCCCGGCTGCTGTTATTTTAAGACATTATTCATCCAGGGTTGATTAGTCCCCGTTGGCCGGCGGCCTTTTAAATCACCCTTGTCTCTCGAACGTGCAAACACCCCCGTTGCCTCCTCCTCAAAAGTTCCGCCAGCCAGTTCCTCCTCGGGGAAGATTCATAGCGGGCCTGATTCGATTTGCAACACCGTTTGAAATTCAGGCGAGGGCGTATTTCATTCGTCGACGGTTGAACGAGAAGGAGGAGAGGAGGGTCGGGAAGGTTACCAGGGGGAGGGAAGGCGGCCGGTGAATATCGAGCTTGCCAAATGGAGTAAACTGCAGCCTCCGGCTCGTGTAATCTTCCGGAAGTCGCCGTCTGCCGTCGATTATCTCCTCTCTCTTTCTTTCTCGCTCTCTCTATCTCCCTCTCTCTTTTCGTTTGCCGCTTCGTTTCCCTCTTCTTGTCTCACCACCCGCTTCACGCCTCCTCTGTCTCGTCCCCCCTGTCGTTTCTCCCTTTGGCCTTGGCGGTAAATCAGGCGAAAGGGGTGTCGCAGTGATCCAGCAAAATGAAGCCAAGTCGTTTTTGCGGGGCACCGTCGACACGAGAATCATATTTTCCGATGGCTCGCCGGGAAACTGTTTGCCCCCGTCGCCGCGCGGGCAAAATTCCGCGCGAACGCCGCGAAATGAGTATCTCGCGTGAATGGGAAGGTTCACGGCGCTGCGCTCGGCGAATTCCGCGGACGGTACGTCAATATGTTCCCGGAACACCGGTCCCGGTACTCATTTCTTTCGGATTACGCGTGTCGCATATTTCCCTGACTGCCGAATATTTTCAGGGAAAAATCCGCCTTTTATAACTTCCTCCATAAAAAGCGATAGATGTTGCTAGTTAGTTCGACGCGATACACGGACAATGATAAGGACGTTGCCAGTTTGATAAAATCCAATCTTTATTACAACGCTTATGTAAGGGGTAGTCGTAGGTGCAGCATATTGCGTCGTGTCGTATTTGGTACTTGCGACTGTACTTTGAATTTACCCGAGTCGAAATTTTTAATTCTACGTTAAGTCTTCAAGTGGAGAAGTAAATTCCTATTTGTAGCGTCAAAGGAGTACAATAAATGCTCCTTTAATGCTACGCAGGGAATTCAGTCCTCCAGGGTCTTAATTTTTCTTCTACATTAAGTCTTCAAGTGTCGGAAACGGCAATAACGTCTCCATTTGTAGTACCAGTGGAATATCATAAAAGACTTTTGAACACTTAATGTAGAATTGAATTAGACTTAAACTAAGACTAAAATTTCGACTCGGCTATCCTCTTCGTCGCGCAATTTCTAGCGACTGGTAATTGAATTTTTGACGAGAGAGCGTCGCTTAAATTATGATATTAAATTATTATCATGCCCTTTTCAACGAGTTACATACGCAGTTACCATCTCACGATGGGAAACGCCATGACCAATGACCGGTGGAGGAGCGATTATTGGGGAGCATGGCGATGAAATAATTTCGTTCTCGCTAATGAAGACTGTAACGTCTTGAAGTGCTTACCCGCGCGAGCTGTCCCGAGGATCCATTTTCCGCGCGGCAAATCTGGCGGCTTCGATCGCCGCCCGAAATTCGGCACAGCAGCTACGTTCTCCCGCGGGAAAACATCCCATTTCGCATTATCCCAAGCCGTTGAAATCCCGCTTCCATCAGGATCTTCATTCCGCCTCCCTTCAACCACCGTGTTTTCTCGTCCCAATATTGCGATCCAGTCGTAATGTTTATGAGCGTGCCTCAAGACGCGATTAAATCTTCGTCACCGTGGCGACGTTAAAACGTTGACAGCGTATTAAAAATATACACCCGGACGAGGGCAATTAAATCAACCCGGTAGCGGGGTTTATGAGAAACCTCCCCCTGCTAAACCGTACAATCTCTGCCGTTAATCTGAATAATATCGGGATTTCGAGATAAATTAAAATCGTCGCGTCGTCGTGCCCTCAGCCGCACGAGTATTTCTACAATTTCGAATTGAATGTAATAATCGTCTACTCTGTGTGCGTATGTGTGCGCGTATACACGTATGAAACCATGATAAACCGCGCGATATTTATTTCATTTCGGGATTAGTTAGATGTTCCGTGTTATATATTATCAGCCGTGTGTTCATCGGAATAATCGATACCGCATCTCCCGACACCATCCATTAGCGGTTAGGGATCATCGGCCAGTAGCTCATGTTGATTACCACGTGGTGCGCCTCCTCCTGGCACTTCCTGCGTTTCCGCCCTATAGCATTGCGCATTATAGGCTGCCGGTATTATAACGGGACATGTCGTATAAATCACGTCGAATGACGTGCATGCGTCGCTCTCGCTCTCCCGGTGCGTCCCCTGGCGTCGACGCAAATTGCCGACATTAGTCGTTAGTGACGGATCATGACTGGCCCTTCCGTTTCGAGGAGATCGCCGCCACTGTTCACACGCGTAATAACTCAATTCTCTTAATATTACGCCGAGCGTCTTTCGCTCGTCATTTAATCGCTATTCATTGGCGGCGCGATGCTTCCGTCCAGACAGGATTCGTCGGATTCTTTCGGTAATCTAAACGTATCGCCCTTGCTGCGTGTATCGGCACTTACTTTCGGTTCTCTGTTACCTCCGCTCTCTTATACGTTCGCATAGAAACATACTGATTCAATTAGTGACATTTTCACTGATTCAATTTAAGAGAGCTC